GTGTGCAGTAGCAGGTGGAAATGTCACATATTTGCCTTTTTATGTAGTGTGAAAATCATGAGTAGTCCTCTGTAGTAGACATATCACAGTATTATTGTTCCAAGCAAATGCTAAAACCGGTCAAACAACATGCTGGGATCAAAGCTCCAGGGAAAAAAGGAAGGGGGAAGGCTAGAGGTGCGTAATTTTCATATCTTGAGAGACTTGTCTCCCTCTAAATATCTTGATTTCCAGATCTATTATCACAACTTTTTAAACATTAACACAGGAGATGGATGTTTTTATTATGGGGTTTGTAAAGGAAAATAAATCAGCAGGAAGGCAACCTAAAGTCAGGACTCATAGAGGGAAAAAATGTAGTTTCTCAACATCACTCATCTAAATCTTTATGAGATGTCTTTATGAGTGAAGATAAGTAAGTAAAACTTGGTCTGGTTGGAATTCAATCTTGTGCCAAGGCCATCCGAGGAAAATGGAAAACAACACAAGATGCCACAAGCATTTTGCTTCAGTTTGCTGTTCTCTTCTTCGGTTTTTACAACAGAAAACTTCTTTTCTGAGTGGCTTTTATTTAAACTAAAAGTGATGCTTTTCAGCAGTGGGTGTGAAGTGGTCCTTGACCACAGTTTGAGTGGCCACCTGCACACACACCTGCTGAAGGTTAGTCAGTCCGAATTTTTACTTAGACTAAAAATATGAACCAATGGGACTTTTTTAACTTAATGTAGTTTAAGCACAGACATTTGGATCATTTGGTCAACCCCAAACATGTTTGAAACACTTTCAGTCATCAACAGTGCAAGTTATGTTAAAGTCTTTTCAAGTCTGAATGAGTGAGTTACCTTCTGGTGGTGAACATACAGTGTTTGTACTGTTACTGTCAGCCATGTTTCCACCTGCTGCCTGGACCACTCTCTAAACCAGCTTCAAGCACTTTATCAGAAATAGCAGCAATTTCAAGCCACAAATTATTAAAGTTGTTCAATTTTTCAGCTGATTAGCCTCACCTTTAGCCTTGTGGCTTTGACCTGATGGATAAATAAAGCATGAGGAAAACCGAGATGGTGGGCTTGTAGGAGAGCACATGCAGTCACTGAAATCTTTAACATAGATTATTAAAAATCTGGTGTTAAGGTAAACCTTAGTGATGTGATCCAGAAGTTTAAGCAGATGGCATTTCCCTCCACTGTAGCTAATAATAAACCATCCAGATGGTAATCCACAAAAACGACAAAAATTTCTAAAAAATCTCCACCACAAAGAAAAATAACTGAAACAAAATCTAAACAGATGGAGAAACCAGCTGCAATATTCTAACAGATAACCTTGGATTCAGAGTAGCAGTAGCAATCTATACGAGGCACCATGATGCAAAAAGCTGAATTTAATTCAATTCAAAAATAATTGAAACAAAATTTAATTTTAAGCCATTATTAAACATCATAACAACTGTCCAAAAGTAAGACTGAATGAGAAAAATATCCTTTCAGCTGCACAGTACCCAAAACCAGAGGGAAAAATTGTTCTAGCATACGATGCTTCAAACCAAAAACTGACAAAAGTTTACAAAAAGAAGTCAAACTGTCATGAAAGCCACAGTCCTAGAAAACAGAACTCTCAGAAGCAGCTTCATTGAATAGCAGAGCCACATGAAAAGGTGGTTTATGAAGATTCATGTTGGAAAAAGACAAAGACATAAGATAAGGATGGTCCAGAGACTTTGTATGGAGAGTAACAAAAGAATGGAAGTTTCTTCATCATAATAAGCAGAGTGGTTCCTTTTCATGAAGAGAAGAAACTATCGGCCTGACCTGGCAGATATCCTGCAGTTAGCAGCAGCTACGCCCATACATGGGTGTAGTGGCATTATTGCTTTGCTCTCCTCAGGATTTAGATTTCACCAGTTTTCAATCCGTCTCTTTCATGTAGAAGTTGATTTCAAATATCAGTTTCATCAGGAGCTTATCTCTCTTTCAATCTCTGTTGCTAATTGTTATGAATTTTAAACTGGTTCATCAAAGACATCACTCAGAAGAAAGGCCTTTTGTTGTCGTGCAAAAACTGTAATGCTGATTTTTCTCCCGGAAACATATTTTGATACTAAACTTAAGAGATCTCTGCTAACCATGGAACAGAGATCCATAGTTAACAGATGATAACAAGTACCCTCAGGTGTACTTTTTATCATCCACCATAAATATGTAACTTTTGTTATTTGGAAGAGAAATTTATCTAATTTTCAAATTCTATTCACTTCCTTCCAACTTGAGAGCTGCAAAATAAACTAAACACTTTAACAAATTTAACAACACTTTCCCTCCATTAACCATTATTAATCATTAAATAAAAGGGAATTAAATAAAGACAAGCCAACAAAAAATATCCAGTTTTACATGCAAAGGAATTAAAATCCCAAAATATCTTAAATACACCTGGATAAACGATCTGTTGAGATCTTTCTAAAGGAGCATTTATATGGTCAATAAAAGGAAAGCTGAATGTACTTCAGTGCTGACCCTCTGTAAATGTATTGCCAGCTTTTATAGGAAATGTTATGATTGATGACCTGATTGATTTACCTAAAAAGGCCAGCTAAGCGTTTCTTTGATGCATGTCTTTCCCCCAATGAAATGAAATACAAAGGTTAACATCCATGGATATCCAGAGAAATCTAATGAAGCAAGTCATTATCCCTCTAAGCTTCAGAGCTGATATATTATTGATAATATAATAAATGCTTTTGTGAGACATAGCAGCTGTAATATTAGACTTGTTCTATAACGTATTGATGATGCAGATGTTGTGAGCTCAGAGGTTTGAGGTTTTATTTCTTGTAACAAAGAATCCAAAACAGTCAAACACAGTTCACCATGTCAGACACTAAACGTTTTTTAGCTCCAGGTTGTGAAGACATAACCAACGATATAATCTCCTACCTGCAGAAATATCTTTTTGAAGGAATATTGTCAGAGAATGTAAGGTCTGCCAGCATGCTGATGACACAGTTTTGTTTTTTAAAGATTAAACTCAACTATTCTCTCAGCTTCATGATTGATCCATGATTCATCTAGTCTAGATTACTTGTAAACTGTTTCCATTCTGTCCTTTAACAAACAAAAAAAACACACACAAAACTCTTCTGTACAAGAACTTAAATATACTTTTGATGAATAAATCACTTTTTTCTCTTAAATGCTTCTACAGACTAAAAGGTCTTGTGCTTCATTTTATGATTCAGAGATCTGTGTTCCTCTTCTCAGAAATAAACCTTTACAACTTATTAACGTTTCACTTTAAAAATGGTACTTGGTAACTTAGTTTCTAAAGTTTTCATTCAACTTTCTGACTACAATAAAGATCCGTCCCAATCTTCTTTGACACTTGAGATTAAATTAAAATATCAAACAACACAGAAATCCAGAAAAAAAATTAAATTACTCAGAGCATATACAACTGTTCAAATAACACAATGTAAACTGGAAAATGGCTGCACTTCAAAATTATGTATGGAATAAAGTTCGTTAAAGGAAACCCGTGTACTAAACAAAACACTAAAACTCTCCCAACTTCTTGCAGAGGAACAACGTAGATCCACCTAAATCCTCCTTTTCTATTCAGAACTGCTGTGTTACTGTAATCAGTTCCAGGATTTTATTTATGTACCCTATAAAAACTGAAGCATGAAGCTGAGCGCAAAAATAACCTAATGGAAAAATCAGCGCTCACTTTGATTAACTCCTACTTTCCCCCATTCTTTCATCCTGCTACTTTGTTTCTGAGATAATAAAAGTTTCTGACGGATACACTTATTTATTTTCTGTCTGTTTCAACAGACAACGCGCCTGCACTAAAACATTCTGAATCCCCCCACAAAGAAAGAGACTAAAAGTTTCAAACAGCAAACTCACCATCCTGCGTTAATGTTGCAGTGATGAGCAAAAGAAGGAAAAGTATCCGTAGACAAAAATTCATCCTGAGGCCGGGTGGAGATACTCCTGAAGTTTTTATTGGTTTTGATCCAGTACTCGTGAGCTCCGAGGATTTGTGGCCACCAGTCTGTTTCCCTGCGCTGAGCCGAGTTGAACCGGGTATAGAGTTACACTGTGAGTCAGCGCGGCCTCTGCAGCGGGCTGGGTGTGTCAGCCAGAGAGGGCGTGGTCCGGTCCGCCAACACACTGAGTCACCGAGTTCTGTTGGTTTAATAACACAGTGATGGCTCTGACTGACAGGCGGTGAAGGTCGAAGAAAGACTTTTGGTTTTTAATGAAAACGAACATGGCTAACGGTTATGAGGGGCAGTTTAGGACAAAATCTATGTTTTGTCTCTCACACACTACGAAAGACTCACGCACACTCAAAAAATACTCAAATTGCGCACACACATACAATATTTCTCTAACACTCATACACAAAATACAATTGCGCACATACAATACTAAAATATAACACACGCAAACAACTTTTTGTCTTAGTCACAAGACTAAGATTGCACATATAAACTAATAAAATCAGTGATTCTTGAAAATAGGGACAAAACAGGTCCTATGCATAAAGCACAAAATTTGAATAAAATATACACAAAATATAATTTTTTCAAATATCTGACTCAACTAACCTGGGCCATGTCAGCACAACAATTAATATTTTCCAGGTATTTGCTGATTTTTTTTTAAATTATTTTAACCATTGTAGTCGGTGAATGATGCCTGTAAAAGCCC